GAGAGAGAAAGAAAGAAGGAGAGAGAGAGAAAGAAAGAGGGAGAAAGAGAGAAAGAAAGAGGGAGAAAGAGAGAAAGAAAGAGGGAGAGAGGGAGAAAGAAAGAGGGAGAGAGAGAGAGAAAGAGGGAGATAGGGAGAAAGAAAGAGAGAGATACTGATCTACCTTCCGTTCTCATTAATAGACAATAGTGTTAACATGCTGTGTTGACACTACACACACAAAAAAAAAATGAAAATAAAAAGAAGGAATAAATAGTGACAATTGCACAGCTACTACTATCTATTTAAGGAGACCCCTATGTTTGATTTTTAAAATAATTTTTTACAAATTTTGAAATATTTCAAAACAATTCACAGCAAGCACTTGGCAGATTTTCATAGGAAAATTGGCAAAATTAAATATGTCATGAGTAATTTACTGAACCCTTCTATTTTCCAGATAGATAATGCATCTATAGGGGAAATTGTTTGTTTAACCAAAAGAAATCAGAAATATGGTATCGTGCATCATTCTGGGGGTATCATAGAATACCTGCCAACTTTACCCCATTACATGTATACAGTCAGGACTAAAAGAAGTACCTTTCTTTCCTTTAAATAGTGGTCACCTGTCCCATATTCTTGGTGCGTAATAATGACATGTTTCACATCTGATATTTGCAATTCTCTCTTGCATTAATTCTTCTTCATGAAAAATGTTAGTATTACTCTTTATAGTATTATATTAAGAATATGAATTTAAAGTACATGCTTGAGCAAAACACTAGATAATATGATCCTAATCCACATGAATCCCTTTTATAAAGTATTCCTATAGGGTATTGTGTATCAATATTCCACAAATTATCATTCATTGTAGTTTTCTGGTCTACATTAACGATGAATGATGGGTACCCCCTGTATCAAAAATCAAACACAATTCATCTTAAAACTCACCCACATTAACAACATAGGTCATAATGTTATCAAACTTGTATGAGGAGAAGAGGAGTCGCTTGCTGTCACTGAGCCAGCATCGGGCAGGTAACCCAGAGTAGCCATATATACCCTTGAATGTATAGCCTTCCTCAATCTTGCGTTCGCGAAGGACCACATCAACTGCTACTTTTTCCTGTGAATCAAGATTAAGATGATGTAAAAAAAAGAAAAAAAAAGACTGAAGGCTCTGTTGATAAGGATGATGATAAATATGTTAATGATATTTATTTTGAGATGTTATTGGTGACTGAGTAGCTTAGTTTGGCACAGAGAAATTCTGCCATGCATGAGCTCAGGACAACAATAATGTAAAAATAATGCAAAAAAATTTGATTCTTTAAAAGTAGAGGAAGAATGTGAGGGGAAAAAGGTAAATGGAGAAGAACTATGATGAGGAATAAGCAAAGAAGGAAAACAAAGGAAAATCTCATATGGCAAAGAAAAGAGAATTAACACTGTTTATTATAATGCATGGCCAATCAACCATACACAAGTAAATGTAAAATGTATTTGATAAAACAATATCTTAAAAGCACATCCTATACCTCCTTGCTAGGCCATGACATGACACAAAGCTGAGCTGACTTGGCATGAGGTCCCCCTACAGTTGACCGCAGGAAGGCAATGCGTGAGCCGTCAGGACTGAGACGTGGACTGCGGATGTTGCTCAAACCTTGGCTGATCTGAGCTGCATTATGGAAAAAAAAAAAAAAGGAAAGGAGGGAGATAGGAATGGGGTAAGAAAAAGGAAGAAAGAAAGGGCAAAGAACGAGAAAGAGAAAGGTAGAAAGGCATAGGGAAAAAACGAAAGGAAGCAGGGGAAGGAGAGAGAGAGATTGGAAAGAAAAATTGGAGGCGAGGGACGGGGAGAGGGAGAGGGAGAGGGAGTTATATAATCTGGAATCATATCAATACTAGCAAAGAAATTAAACATAATGTAACATTTTCATACCCTAATTAACGATTTCATGAATGCAATGTACATAATGCAAGATACAGAACAAAAAGCAATAACATCTATTACACCCAAAGCAATGGAGAAGTGTGTGTGTTTTGTGTGTGTGTTTTTTTTTTGTGTGTATTTGCATGTGTGTGTGTATGTGTGATTTTTTTTTGTGTGTGTGTTTGTGTGATTATTTTTTTGTGTGTGCAAGTGCCTGTGCACGTGCGCGTGTTTCTGTGTGAGAGTGAATGCGTGCGTGTGCGTGTGTGCATGTATTTTTGTGTGCATGTATTTTTATGTGCATGTATTTTTGTGTGCATGCATTTTTGTGTGCATGCATTTTTGTGTGTATGTATTTCTGTGTGCATGTAGTTTTGTGTGTATTAGTATTTTTGTGTATGTGTGTATTTTTGCATGTGTATGTATTTTTACGCATGTGTGTGTACTTTTGCATGTGTGTGTATTTTTGCGCATGTGTGTGTATTTTTGCGAGTGTGTGTATTTTTGCGTGTGTGTGTGTATTTTTGTGTGTGTGTGTGTATTTTTGTTTGTGTGTTTTTGTATGTGTGTGTTTGTGTGTGTGTGTGTGTGTGTGTGTGTGTGTGTGTGTGTGTGTGCGTATGCGTGCGTAGATTGATTATACATCACAGACTACCATATGAACACACTGGAGAGTATAAAAACTCTACAGCAACAACCTACCACATTCCCTTATCACTTACTGTATCTGCCTTCCAAGTCCATGTAAAAGAGTCTGGACTCCCTATTGGGGCAATAGACGAGACCCAGACGGTAAGGTTTGCTCACGAAGGCTACCCCAAAGATGCCATTTCCCCCTGGACCCCACACTAGCTGGCCAGGACAAAGCTCGTCGGGGAGGTCATGGGTTGACAGCTCTCCTGAGTCTACATTCAGGATGCATACCACGCTCTGGGGAAAAAGAGTATTCCCTTATTTAGGGAGAAAGAGCAAGAGAGAGAGAGTGAGAG